CATGTTCCTGAGGAGCTGGATATAAGTGTGTCTGTATTCTCTTCTTTCCTCTGTTTGCTTCTGGGAGGGATTCCTGGTTTGATCTTATTTTCCACAGTCTTTTTTGACATGCATTTATCCTGGTTTGATTTTATTTTCCACAGTCTTTTTTTGACACGCATTTATCCTGGTTTATTTTCAACAGTCTATTTTGACAGGCAACACTCTGGACCCCGAGTGCCATCCTCTCCCTCTCCTCCTTTTGATCCACCCCCTTAGCAGGACAGAACCAGGGCATGGCCCAGCAGGACTTGATGTAGGCACCTGAGCCCTACAGCAGGAGTGCCTCCCAGAGGCCATGCTGGCCTGAATCCAAGCACTGGAGCCCATCCCAGCTGCCCTAGGGTGTGGAATTCTGGACAGATTATCTCACGGACATCCCACCTCCAGTTGCTGCTGAGGACTAAGTATAACTAAGGACCCAGTATAGAGTACATACAATTCGGCACAGGCTGAATGGAGCTGCCCACTGGAGCCTCCACCGTGCAGGCAAGGGCCTGGGATTGGGTTGGGGGCCCATGCTGCACCCCACTGCAGGGAGAACACCGGTCAAGGCTGCATGCAGGTCCCGCCACCAACCTAAAACCATAAAATTAAGGAAGTTGGAATTTTACATGTCTTTTAACGTCGGTTCAATTTTTTTTAAAACTATGTTCTGGAGTGTGACCAGGATGGAAACAATGCATTCTGGAGGAGAGGGACAACACAAAGCCGGTCATCCGGTCTTTGCAGACATTTAGCTTATCTTCATTGCTGGCTTCTGGTGGTCATCGCCCCAGAGCCACCAGGGGAATGGTGAAGTCCTCTTCAGACCCGGATCCGTGCCCTCAGCCTCTCTTTACCTTCCCCACCCTTGCTGGTAGCCACCAACCGCATGGTGGTCCCAACTCCCAGCGCTCCTCGAACTTGGAACTTCGGATCCTTCCGTGTGAAGGTCAACACCCCCCCCCCACCCTCCGTATTCCCGTGGGGGCGCAGGTGACACAAACAGTCCCGAGGTGAAGAGACTCGGGCTCCCAAAGCCACGGCCAAGGCCCAGAAGAACCACCCACTCCTGGGCTCGGGACAACCCAGTCGCCACCCACAGGTCTGCGAGCTGGAACCAATTCCCTTTCCCGTCAGCAAGCAGCGTAGACAAGTGTGTGCGAGCCACGCGACCCCGCGCCGGGCAACTGGCCCGCGCCCTGGCTTTTCCCCCACCCTCCACCACCCCAACCCCTCCCCCCAGGGCGCTCCAAAGGCGGAGCGGAGGATCGGAGCGCGCGGCGACAGCAAGAGGCGCCGCGAGGGCGGGC